ATCAACATCATCATCATCATCATCATCATCATCATCATCATCATCATCATCCATCATCATCGCCTTCCTCCTCCCCCTCCTCCTCCTCCTTCTCCTCCTCCTCCCCCTCCTCCTCCTCCTGCTCCTCCTCCTCCTCCTCCTCCTCCTCCTCCTCCTCCTCCTCCTCTTGCTCCTCTTTAGTATAGCACGCAGTCGCAGGATGGCGGCGCTCGAGTCCAAGCGCGGGCGGGGTCGCGGAGTGGCACCCCCTTTATGCCGTCGACACTGGGAAAGAAAGAGGGGCACCGACGACGACGACGACGGACGGACGGACGGATGGACGGCTGGCGGGAGGGACTGAAGAACGGACGGGCGGAATGAGGGAGGGAGGGACGGACGGACGGACGGACGCCGATCATCCCACTACCATTCACACTCTTTCACCCCTCTATCCCATTGAACCGCCCGTCGTCGGGGACGTGGCCGCGGGGCTGGGCGTGGGCGATGCCACCGTAGACGCGGCCACGAGCGGTGCTAAACGGGCTTGGGTCGGGCCTGCCATCCACCCCGCCCTTCCCCCCCGCCTTCCTCTCCCCTCCCCATCCATCCCCCCTGTCCCCCGTTCCACCTCCCCTCCTCCATCCGCGTGTCGCCCCCGCTCACCCGAGGCTGCTCGAAGCGTGGCGATATCTATCAGGGCCGTGGCAAATGGTTCAATTTTCCAGCTTCGACAAGATCATATTCTCGAGCGGTCGGGCCGCGGGATGACGGACCGCTCCCACCCCCCCGCCCGCTGCAGTTCACGAATTCCCGAATTCGTAAAGGTAAACGGGGGGTAACGGAGGGGGGGCGGTGGTTGTTAAACAAGGCGGGTCACGCACGATCGCGCGTTTCCCGCCTCGTTAACCATCCGCGGGTGGCGGCCAATGGGGGATGGGAGACAACAGTGGCTACAACGCAACGCTCAAACCCGAACAATCACAACAAAGCTCTAGATGCACGTTCGCATCGGCACGCTGTCCACCTGCTGGCTTCACGGGTATTTGCCCGCAGCCGAGTGTCGGCTACAGAGCTGCTCTTTCTACGAACGCCTGGGGCCAGATGTTCGGATATATAAGGCCGGTGCTAGAGAGCGCCCCCTTGGCGATGTGAGTTTGAAGAGCCTTGGCCTGTGCTCCCAGAGCTTTCGGACGAGGATTGAAAGGCGATGATCAGCCAATCCTCGATGGAAAAGAAATTCCTGGGACAAGGGCGGTGGCGAATGGGGTACCTGAACGGGAGGAGAAAGGGTCAAGATGGCACGGGGGAGGCGAAGGGCGGGTCCGTGGCCATTTGGGCTCAAGCCCTTTGGTCCAACAGGCGGCTCGATCTGCGTGGTTGCGCGCTATTATGCGCGGCAGGCGCGCACACATAAACATGATGTTCCGGCGAACGTGTGCAAATGACGAAACTAGTTTCGTCATTTGCACACGTTCGCACATGCGCCGAAAATTGCGTGGATACCATACGACGGCACCGATGTTAACCAGTGCCAGTATGGCAAGAGAGCTAGATCAATCACGTTGTTTTGTTTCTCTGGGCTTTCAGGTGGGCCCGCCGACGAGGTTAGCTGCTGCGTTGCGTTGCTGGACGGCGCGTCCGTTGAGTCATGGGAACCACCGCTCTGCATTTTCGTTTGCGGTTGCGCGCTCACATTCCGAATTGCCTAAATCCACAATTTGGCGATTTTTTCTTGGCTGTTATGTCTATTGCCATCTCTTGGCGGTTATTTTAATTGCCACGGTACCTCAGGGAAGATCATGCAAATCTGAGGAACGGAGGGGAACACGAACGCACAACATGATACACGGAAACAGTCGAATTCTGGAAATTGGTTCTATATTTGTGTGTCAGGCGGGAGGCAGAAGGAAGATGCGGCAGGAGGCAGAAGGCAGGAGGCGGAGGAGGAGTGGGAAACGGGCGGGCGGCAGAAGCCGAGGGTCACCAGCCTACAGTAGGCTCGCGTCCGCGTCGTGACGACCAGCGGCGACCCCGCCGCTGGCGTTCAATGTTGAACGCCTCCAGCGACCCATATTCGTTCGATGTTGAACGGTCCGACGTTTCGGAAACTGCCGATCTTTCAAGGCTGAACGATCCCCTCCTTGTCAGGAACCAAGGCGGAAGTTGGCACAATACGAAACTGCCGTACAGATGACGCCACTCTTGCTCCATTGCTTCGTGATTGCAGTTTTGGGTTTCCTGGGAGGCCATCGCCGACTCGTTGCAAAATCCTGGTCAGACCGCACCCCGGGAGAGGTTCGGGGTGTAGCCGTATCTTGGTGTGCTGCGTGTGAGAGTAATTTTGAGCATGAGTTGTTGTCTTCCCTGGCCAAGGACGTTTTTTATTTTTGCCGAACGGAACCTGCCTTCTGATCGTTCTCGCGCATCATTCTAGGCCTCGCAGATGGGGTCCGAGTAGATGGGGCCGGAGGATCGCGATGCATCGCCGATGCATCGGCGGTGCGGTTCGATGCGGAGCCGCATTTTCCGTACGCCGATGGCGCCGATGCATCGCCGACGTCGCCGATGCATATGCGATCCGTCGGCGATGCATTGGCGATGCGGCGCGATCCTCCGACGCCATCTACTCGGACTACATCTAGGAGGCCTCTAATCATACACGTAACTCAGGGCGCAGCAAAGGACCACAACCACAACCAAGTGGATTTTTCAGGAGGGCCCCTCGGGGAAGACCCCACCGACCTCGACAGGAGCACTTGGGTTGCGGTCGTCGTCGATTTGGCCGTCCTGGGACGCCACATCGAACACAACCAGTACGACGCTAGTTCCGGTGTTTTGACAGTTTGGGCATGCGCAAAACGTCCCCCGGGGTGTGTTCTCGATGTGGTGGTGGTCGCTTGCTCGCTTGCTGCCCCCGCAATCACGGTTCCCCCAGGCGGCGCCTGGCCTGCGGCTGGCGGCCGAGCCCGAGCTGCCGCCAGCGCCCCCCTCGTGCGCGGCGCCCTTGCTCGAGCAGTGGCGAAGCGTCCCGGCGCGCCACTTAAGCCCATTCGAGGAGGTTCTAAGAACTTTTCGTGGTTTGCGCGGCATGTTCTCAGAACCCTTCCTGGCTGAGACTGTGTCTTGTTGAACACATCGGGTCCATGGTCTAAGAACGTCGTTGTTGTTCGTAGAACACTGCTCGGAAGCTGGGCGAGGGCTGGCAAGTCCGTGGCTGCTAAAACGACATTCCCAGACGATAGAAACAAACTCCCGCAATAAAACTCAGCGCGCTAAATAGTAAACGGGCTGCTTCCCGGAAGAAAAAGACAATGTCCCGGAGCTCCGTTTTAGCAGCGACGGGTTTGCCAGCCTTCGCCTGGCTTCCGAATTGCTGGGTTCTACGAACGTGACGTGGTAGGCTGAAGTCGGGCCTGTCCTTCTACGGGGGGAATATTCAAAAATAGTCCAATAATAGTCTGGGGACTATTTTTTTTTGGTATTCTTGATCATTTTGGCGTTTTTACCTAACAGCGAAGACTGATAGGTTTCTAGTAGGGTCAAAAGAGAGCATCATGACTCCTCAGGGGGGTCTGGGCGGAACCCGGACAGAATCCGGCGGCTGCCGTCGAAGCCCAAATCGCCTGGGACATCCTCGCAAAATCGCTCTTGGCGCTCCCAGAACGCCACTCCCGGGCTACATTTTGGATGCTCGGCGCCACCTGTAGGCGACTTCGTGGTCGTCGAGCTCCCAGAACTCCATTCCCGGGCCACATTTTGGATGCCCGGAGCCAACTGCAGGCAAATTCGTGTTCTCCGGGCCACATTTTGCATGATCGGAGTCAATTGTAGGCCACTTCGTGTTCTTCGAGTGCTTCGAACCCCATTCCCGGGCCCCATTGTGGATGCCCGGAGCCCACTGTAGGCCATCTCGTGTTCTTGCCTAACAGCGAAGACTGATAGGTTTCTAATGGGGTCAAAAGAGAGCATCTGATGACTCCCCAGGGGGGTCTGGGCGGGAGCCGGACAGGCGAGGACTGGGTTCGTTTTAAGCAAACAGTCACACACTTCGTGGCCACATTTGGATGCCCAGAGCCAACTGTAGGCCACTTCGTGCTCTTCGACTTCCCAGAACTCCATTCCTGGGCCACATTTTGGATGCCCGGAGCCAACTGTAAGCCACTTCGTGGTCTTCGAGTTCCCAGAACTCCATTCCCGGGCCACATTTTGAATGCCCGGAGCCAACTGTAGGCCACTTCGTGCTCTTCGAGTTCCCAGAACTCCATTCCCGGGCCACATTTTGAATGCCCGGAGCCAACTGTAGGCCACTTCGTGCTCTTCGAGTTCCCAGAACTCCATTCCTGGGCACATTTTGAATGCCCGGAGCCAACTGTAGGCCACTTCGTGTCTTCGAGTTCCCAAAACTCCACTCCTGGGCATGATTTTGAATGCCCGGAGCCAACAATAGGCTACTTCGTGTCTTCGAGTTCCCAGAACTCCATTCCTGGCCGAGGCTGAAGCAGACTGAGGCTGGCTGAAGCCTGAGGCTGAGGCAGGCTGAGGCTGAGGCTGAGGCAGGCTGATGCTGAGGCAGGCTGAGGCTGAGGCAGGCTGAGGCTGAGGCCGAGGCTGAAGGCAGACTGAGGCTGAGGCTGAAGCAGACTGAGGCCGAGGCTGAGGCAGGCTGAGGCTGAGGCTGAGGCAGGCTGAGGCTGAGGCAGGCTGAGGCTGAGGCTGAGGCTGATGCAGGCTGAGGCTGAGGCAGGCTGAGGCTGAGGCCGAGGCTGAAGGCAGACTGAGGCTGAGGCTGAAGCAGGCTGAGGCTGAGGCTGAGGCAGGCTGAGGCTGAGGCTGAGGCAGGCTGAGGCTGAGGCTGTGACTGCGACTGCCGTTGCCACTTCGACTTTCATCGCGAATGCGACTGCGACTGCGAGAACAGCAGAATTCTACAACTGGATTCTCATGTGAATCTTGAGGGGAATGCTTCCAGATATGCTTCTACACATCGCTGTTAGCCTGCTTTGCCGGGATAGTTTGGGGGTATTTTTTAAAATTTTTCGTCGAAAGTCCCCCTGCAGGGGGACGCGCCCGACCTAAATGGTAGGCCTACGAGGACTGCCGGGGCGGTCGGCCCCTGCTCCACGTGCCCCCCCGTGCGCGGCAGCTGCAGCCGCCCCCCCCCTGGCGCGGTGCGGCCCAGCCCACGGGGCTGCCGCAGCCCAGCCCGGAGCCGTCCCCGCGCGGCGCGGGGCGCCCGCGGGAGGCCCGCGCCGGGGCGCGGCGTGCGAAGCGAGAGGTCAAACGCTGGCATCGACGAGCATCCCGAAGAGAGAGAGAACCATCGAGGACCATCCTGGACCATCGAGCAAAAACAGCCACACGAAACCGAAACATATGCACGGGAAATGGACGTCCGAGCGACGGCAAGCTGAGTAGCAGCGCCTTCTCAGACACCTTCCCCACTCCCCCTGCCCCCTGGTGCGCGCCGCCAAAGATGGGGCCCGCGAGAGGCCTGCGAGCTGGCGCGGGTGCCCGCCTGGCGTGTCGGCCGCGGGGACATGGCGCCGCGGGGCCAAAGGGAAGCCGCTGCCGCCTCTCGGGGGTGGATAGAACCCCCAACAGTAACACGTCGATGAGTGGATTGTCCGTCTTCGGTTCTCGAGATGGCGCCGTGGCCGTTATTTTCCAGGCTTGCGCCCGCCAGGTTTGGGCCTCAGGTCGTTTTCACTAAACCATGTTTTACTAAAGGGGGGTCTGTCCATCCCCGAGAGAACGCCATAAGCATGCACGTGTTGCGCTCCTCGCGGGGCTCTCGGATCCGCGCTGGGACCCCCCTGGCGACGCGTCCGGCGCCGCCCCTGGCGCGCTCCGCGCGCCAGGGACCCATTGGACTGTGACCCATTGGGTTGGTTCCCGCGTATACGCGGCGCTCTTCCCTTCTGCGAGCGCCCACGACCTATGATTAGCCCCTATGGGTCGTCGCAGCCAGGCCTTATGGGTCGTCGCAGCCCTATGGGTCGTCGCCCGCGACCTATAGGCCCTAGGGGCATCGTTGCTTGACCTTGGCTCAGAGGAGGAAAAAGTACCCATACCGCCACGCTTCGCCCGAGTCCCCCTTCCGGTGGGCCTCCTCGGGGGGGCCCTCGTCGCCACCGCTGGACTCGCCTCGGAATCCTGGCCAGAGCGCGCCCCAGGAGAGGTCCCGCCTCCTCCTCCTCCTCGTCCTCCTCCTCCTCCTCCTCCTCCTCCTCCTCCTCCTCCTCCTCCTCCTCCCTCCCCTCCTCCTCCCTCCTCCCCTCCTCCTCCCTCCTCCTTCCTCATCCTCCTCCCTCCTCTCCCCTCCTCCTCCCGCCTCTTCCCTCCTCCTCCCTCTCCTCCTCCTCCTCCTCCTCCTCCTCCTCCTCCTCCTCCTCCTCCTTTCCGGGGCCCAGGAGAGGTCTGGGGAGGAGGGGCTCGGCGTGCGAACCGAAAGATCAAACAACGGCATCACCATCACTGTTTCCGGTATCGAGTCATGCGAGCCTGGTGTGCCCTCTTCATGTCGTCCTTGGCGTCGAGTAGCGTCTGAGAGTCGACGAGATAGCGCCAGTTCAGCGTCGATTTAGCGTCGAGTCAGAGTCGATAAGCGTCGACCAGCGTCGATTCGCAGGAGCCGACAAGCTGGTATGTAGGTTCCCATGAGTTGCCATCGAAACCGTTTGACCTTGGCCTCGCTCGGACGTGTGCTTGTTGTCCGGGCGAGGACCATCGAGGATCATCCCGGATCATTACGAGAATTGAGCGGCCGAGGCCGGTCAATGTACGGGAAGTGGGCGCCCGAGCGATGGCAAGTGACGGGCCTTCGCGGGTTTCTTAAGATCTGCGCTCGTACCCTCTGGCGGCGCCTCCGGGGGACCCCGCGCAGATCCAGCAAATCCGTGCGGACCGTCAAGAGTTCACGCTTGTGTCGGGCCGGGCGAAAGGGGGGGATTGGGAAAGGGGGGGTTACGAAATTTGCTGCATGCAGCTGGTTTCGGCCTCACCGAGGGGCCCATTCCTCGATACATAGCCGCCTCCGGCGCCGGGAGGCGCCGGGAAAATCAGCTACGTGAGCTGATTCTCAAACCCCCCCTTTGCTATCCCCCCCTTTCGCCCGACCCGATTGTGCCGCCTGTTGTTCCTCCAGGCGAGATCCGAACTTTACTCGTTGCGGTCGGCTTTGGAGGTCGCCGCGGATGTTGCAGCGGCCACGAGTCGGGGCAATGTGTTGCCCGATCCTCCCGCGCTGGGCACTCGTTTTGAAGAGAGCACCGCGGTGGCAAACCTCCCGCCTCCCTCTTCCCCTCATCCCTCCTACTTGCCTGCTACAGTCGGGGCCCTGAAGAAGGAACCCTTTTTGTTGGGGAGGGGCTCCGTGTTCCTTAGTTGCTTTACAGTGCTCGTTGGTTTCTCCTGAGGTTATCCATGGAAACTCGGAGTTTAATATGAGGGAAAAAGGGGCCTCGTTCCTTGTTTATCGTTCCTTAGGTCAACGCCCCGACTCGACTGTACCCTGTCTCCTAACTCTTCGTCATGCCCGGATGCTTGGTGGGGGGCTGCGATCTGCGAAATCGTCCCCAATTTCGAGGGCTGCTTGGGGGGCTCAGCGGAGTGAGGCACCACCCAGACTCAGATTAGACCTCGTCATCCCTGGGAGGCTTTGACCTGCGAAACTTTTGCCACTTCCGAGGGCTGCTGGGGGGTTCCAGCGGAGTGAGGCACCACCCAGACTCAGATTCGACCTCGCCATCTCTGGATGGCTGCGGAGTGTGAAACCGTCGCATTCTCGTTGGCTGCTGGGGGGTCCAGCGGAGTGAGGCACAGCCAAGACTCAGATTAGACCTCGCCATCCCTGGATGGCTGCGATCTGCGAAACCGTCGCCACTTTCGAGGGCTGCTGTGGGGATCAGCGGAGTGAGGCACCAACCAGACTCAGATTAGACATCGCCATCCTTGGGGGGCTGCGATCTGCGAAATTGTCGCCATAGTTGAGGGCTGCTAATTAGGGGTTCCAGCGGAGTGAGGCACAACCAAGACGCAGATTAGACCTCGCCATCCTTGGTGGGTTGCGAAGTGTGAAATGTTTGTAATTTTCGAGGGTTGCTGGGGGTTCAGCGGAGTGAGGCACCACCCAGACTCAAAGTAGACCTCGCCATCCCTGGGGGGCTGCCATCTGCGAAACCGTCACCATTTTCGATGGGTGCGTTGAGGGTCCAGCGGGGCGCTGTCGCGGGCCGCCCGCAGACCTGGCGGCGCGCCTTCGCGAGTTTAGCTCCCGCATTGAAAAGTGCAGGAAGGAAGCAGGGAAGCTGGCGGGCGACCTATGCTTCGCTCCCTTCTTGCACCAAGTGCAAGCAGGTGTTTGGAGCGCCGCGGCGACATGGAGAAGGCAGCGCTGCATCTTCAGCGTACTACATGCAAACGCAACGCTCTGTCGTCGTCCTCCTCTGCCCCCTGGCACCTTCTGCTGCTGCCGCGCTGGCGGGTCGGCCCCCCACGCGTCCTTTTCCTGCCTTTCGTTCCCGCCCCCATGTCCTCAAGCCTGGGCCCTCGCTCCTCGTCCTTCTGCTGTTGTCCTGTGAACCGTGCCACGTGAGCGCATCCCGTGTAGCTTACACAACATATGACGGCGCCTGCACTGGCATTGTCCTAGCAAGTTTGGGGCAGTTCCTCTTGTCACTGGATGCAAATGGGCCGGGCACGTCACAGGGTATGTTGTGAAGGAGTGGAATGCTCCTACCCAGGTAGACGTGGCTCACAATTTGCCCACCATAGAGCGACAGAGAGGTGCCAGCTTGTGTCCGTCCTGGTCCGTCACCCGGGTGGCGGGGGTAGGGTCCGGGGGTCAAGCTTGCAAGTCGTCCAGCACGTTTACCAGCCT